GAAGGGGGGGGGGAAGGAGGAATTATTACCGACAGCAAGACTTTGTCGACGCATCTCTGGCGGTAACTGCGGTCGGATACGTCCTAAACAAGCCGTAATAGCGGTCAGATACGTCCTACGCAAGCCGTGGTTGCGGTCAGATACGCCGTAAGCAAGCCGTAATTGCGGTCAGATACGTCGTAAGCAAGCCGTAATTGCGGTAAAATGCATCCAGGGAATTCGTAGTGTGCGTAGGACCAGTAAGGGGAAGGAAAAACGGCGAGGACATCGTTGAGGTGGAGCGAAGGAGAAGGAGCGGGAGGCAAGGGAGGAGGGAGGAAGAGGAGAGGAGGAGAGGGAGGAGGAGGAGGAGGAGAGGAGTGCAGAAGGTGGCGTTGATGATAGAAAAGCTAAGTTGGGCTAAGTTGGGAAGTGTAGATATCACTGCTGTTGTACGAGCGCCCACGGTCGTACCTTTGATTAGTACAGTATTACCCAGATTTTCCTCTGCTGTGGAGAGGAGGAGAGGGAGGAGAGGAGGAGAGGAGGAGAGGGAGGAGGAGGAGGAGAGGAGTGCGGAAGGTGGTGGTGATGATAGAAGCTAAGTTGGGAAGTGTAGATATAACTGCTGTTGTACGAGCGCCCACGGTCGTACCTTTTGCTTATTACAGTATTATTAGTACTGTATTACCCAAAATTTTCCTCTGCTGTGGTCTGTCGGGGCGCCACGTGTATCGTGCCGCACGTACTTGCCGCTCTTTGATGTGTGACACTGGTTGTACTGGGACGATTGTGCGAGAAAGAGGAGTTGCAGTTATCGCCATCGCCATCGCCGTCGGGCACGTTACACTGGGCGACGCCTGCGTGGCAGTGGTTAGTAAGTGAACGGCGGTGGGCGACAACAAGCAAGAGGCGCGGATTTGGTTCCAGCCAGCGCCGCCGGTTCATTGTGCGGCACATGAGCGACAGAGAGCGATGACGATATGCCGCTCGTGGAGATTACGACTGCCGTTCTGCGTTCGAAGTTGCTACCGTGCGATTGCTGGGCGCGGTGTGCGGGCAGTCTAGCTGCTGCTGACAGGACAGGTCAGGCGGGCAAAGAGAGAGACAGGCAGGTGATTGTGCAGGCGAAAGGCAGGCGAGGTGTCAGGCAGGCAGGCAGACAGACAAACGGACAGACAGACAAATCGACCAATCAAGACAGACAGAGGCAAGCAGCTAGACTGGTGGTGGGGACATTCTAGCTGCTGCGGCTGCGGCTGCTGCTGCTGCTGCTGCTTCTTCCATGAACCGCTTGGTGGAGACGACAGGTCAGGTGCGCAGAGAGACAGAAAGGGAGGCAATTGCAATTGCGCAGGCGGACAGGAAGACGAGGTGTCAGTGAGGCAGGCAGGCAATCGGACAGACAACAGACAAATCGACCAACCAAGCCAGACAGACAAACAGCTAGACTGGTTGTGTGGGCATTCTACCTGCTACTGCTGCTGCTTCCCCCTGAACCGCTTGGCGGACCCGACAGGTCAGGTGCGCAGAGAGACAGAAAGGGAAGTAATCCTGCAGGCGGACAGACAGGCAGGCAGGCGTACAAACGGACACACAGACAACCTACCGTCCCACAGAAAGACAAACAGACAAACAGACCGACCGACCGACAGACAGACAGACAGATAGACAGACAAGAAGATAGATAGACAGACAAGAAGATAGACAGATAAACAGACAGACAGAGAGACAAGCAGATAGATAGACAGACAAACAGATAGATAGACAGACAGGCAGACAGACAGACAGGGAGGTTGGCTGGCAGGTAGAGAGTGCAAAGATGACACCTCTAAGGGAGATCGACGCCATATCAAGCATTCGTACGCCGGCGCGCAGTCATTGGGCGACTGCCTTTGCCGCTTCGCCATATCCGATAAGAGAGCCGCGGAAGAGGGCAGTTGTTGTCGGGATAACGTATAGGGGCTTGTCATTGCAGCCGCTGCTGGGATGCGAGCGAGACGCTATAAGCTTCTCAAAGATCCTGGTCTCTGAATTCGGCTTCAAAGACTCGGACATCCTGCTCATGACAGGTGAGAAAATCATTCGTTGTTCTCAACCTTAGTCGTCTCCTCCTCCTCCTCCTCCTCCTCCTCTTTCTTTTTCTCTTTCACCTTCTCCTCTTTCTCCTCGTCTTTCTCCTCTTTCTCATCGTCTTTCTCTCTCCTCC